TATAACCCTGATAAACATGTATGCACCCAATGCTGGAGCACCCAAATACATAAAAAAAAAAAAAAAACTCCTGGAAGATATTAAGGGAGATATCAACAATAATACAATCATAGCAGGGGACTTTAATACACCACTGACATCACTGGATAAATCCTCTAGAGACAAAAAAAAAAAGAAAAAAAAAAAGAAAGAAACAGAAATCCTAAATGACTCACTACATAAATTGGACTTAGTTGACATCTTCAAAACATTTCACCCCACAGCCCAGAATATACTTTCTTCTCAAGTGCACATGGGACATTTTCAAAAATAGACCACACTTTGGGTCACAAGCAAAGTCTCCCTAAATTCAAGAAGATTAAAATCATATCAAGCATTTTCTCAGACCACAATGGCATAATATTAGAAATAAGCTATAATAAAAACAGCCCCCAAAATTCAGACACTTGGAAGCTGAATAGCATGCTGTTAAACAGTGATTTTGGGTTACCAAAGAGATCAAAGAAGAAGTTAAAAACATCCTGGAAACTAATGACAATGAAAACACAACAATCCAAAATCTATGGGACACAATGAAAGCAGTCCTGAGAGGGAAGTTTATAGCACTACAGGGTTATATATATATTAAAAAAAACAAAAAACAAAATGAAAACAACAAGAAAAAATGGTAAGGAATCATCTAACTGTACAACTCAAAGAATTAGAAAGAGAGCAATAAGAAAAGCCCACAGTGAGTAGTAGGAAGGAGATAATACATATCAGAGCAGAGATAAATGACCTAGAGACCAAAAAAGCAATACAAAAGATCAATGAAACCAAGAGTTGATTCTTTCAAAGGATAAACAAGATTGATGAACCTCTATCCAGTCTCTCCAAGTAGCAAAGAGGGCCCAAATAAACAAAATCAGAAATTAAAGAGGCAAAATAACAACAGACCACACAGAAATTCAAATATTGTAAAAAAATACTATGAACAACTCTATTCTAACAAACTAGACAACATGGAGGAAATGGACATATTCCTAGAAAAATACAACCTTCCGAAACTCAATCAGGAAGAATCTAAAAACCTCAATAGACCAGTGACTTGGGAAGAAATTGAAACAGGCATCAAAAAGATTCCAGCAAACAAAAGCCTGGAGCCAGACAGTTTCACAGGGGAGTTTTACAAAACATTCAAGGAAGAATTAAAAACTATCTTCCTCAGACTATTCCAAAAAATTCAAGAGGAAAGACCACTTCTAAGCTCCTTCTCTGAAGCCATCATCACCTTAACACTAAAACCATATGAAGACAACACAAGGAAAGAGAATTACAAGCCAATATCCCTCATGAACATAGATGCCAAAATTCTCTACAAAATTCTAGAAAATCAGATCCAGAAGTACATCAGAAAGATCATACAATATGACCAAGTAGGATTTATCCCAGGGATGAAAGGATGGTACAATATCAGAAAATAAATAAACATGACACATCACATAAACAAACTGAGAGATAAAAATCACAGAATCATATCAATTGATGTAGAAAAAGCATTTGACAAAAATCAACACTCTTTCTTGATAAAAACTCTCCACAAGGTGGGCATAGAAGGATCATTCCTGAACATAGTAAAAGCCATATATGACAAACCCACAGCTAACATCATACTCAATGGGCAAAAACTAAAACCAGTTCCCCTAAGAACGAAAACAATATAGGGATTCCCACTCTCACCACTCCTGTTCAACATAGTACTGGAAGTACTAGCCATTGTGATCAGACAAGAAGAAGAAAGAAAAGGCATTCAAACTGGAAAAGAAGAAATAAAACTGTCCTTTTTTGCAGATGACATGATATTGTACATAGAAAACCCTAAAGACTCCATAAAAAATTATTAGACTTAATAAATGTATTTGGCAATGTAGCAGGATACAAAATTAACACCAAGAAAACTATGGCATTTCTAAACATCAATAATGAATTTACAGAGAGAGACTAAAAAAGCAATCACATTTACCATCATACACACTAAAATTAAGATACCTAGGAATAAACTTATCTAAGGAGGTAACATACCTATACATGGAAAACTACAGGACACTGAAAAAAGTGATAGAGGAAGACATAAACAGATGGAAGAACATACCGTGTTCATGGATTGGTAGACTCAGCATCATTAAAATTTTTATACTACCCAAAGCAATTCACTCCCCATTAAAATACCAATGGCATATTTCACAGATCTAGAATGAACTTTCCAAAAATTCATCTGGAATAAAAATAAAAGGCCCCGAATATCTGCAGCAATCTCAAGAAAGAAGAACAAAGTAAGTGGGATCCCAATATCAGATTTCAAGCTGTATTACAAAGCCACAGTTCTCAAAACAGCCTGGTACTGGCACAAGAACAGACAGACCAATGGAATAGAATAGAGAAGCCATAAATTGACCCAAACCACTATGCTCAGTTAATATTTGACAAAGGAGGCATGAACAGTCAAGACAGTCTCCTCAATGAATGGTGTTGGGAAAATTAGATAAATACATGTAAAAAATGAAAGTAGACCACCAAATTACACCATACACAAAAATAAACTCAAAATGGATAAAGGACTTAAACATAAGATTAAAAACAATAAAAATACTAGAGTAATCCATTGGCAGCAAAATCTCATACATATGCCAAAGCAATTTCTTCACTGATATTGCTCCTAGGGCAATGGAAACTAAAGAGAAAATAAACAAATGGGACTAAATCAAAACTAAAAGCTTCTGAACAGCAACAGAAACCATCAACAAAACAAGAAAGCTCACTGCATGGGAGAATATATTTGCCAATGTTATCACTGATAAGGGTTTAATCTCCAACATTTACAGGGAACTCATACAACTTATCCAAAGGGAGATAAACAACCCAATTTAAAAAATGGGCAATGGACCTACACAGATTTTTTTTAAAATATATAATATATTTTTATTGATTTTGTACAGATAGGAAGGGAGAGAGAGAGTTAGAAACATCGATGAGAGAGAGTCATCGATCAGCTGCCTCTTGCACACCCCCTACTGGGGATGTGCCCTCAACCAAGGTACACGCCCTTGACCGGAATCGAACCCGGGACCCGTCAGTCCCCAAGCCAACGCTCTATCCATTGAGCCAAACCGGTTTTGGCTACATAGATTATTTTTGAAAAAAGACAGAAAGAAAGCCAACAGACACATGAAAACATGCTCAAAGTCACTAATTATCCAAGAGATGCAGAGCAAAACGACAATGCAATACTATCTCACACCTGCCAGAATGGCTATCATCACCAAATCACCAAATGACAAATGCTGGCCAGAGTGCAGAGAAAAAGGAACCCTTGCACACTGCTGGTGGGAATGCAGACTGGTGCAGCTACTGTGGAGAACAGTATGGAGTTTCCTCAAAAAACTAAAAATGGAACTCCTGTTTGATCTAGTGATCCCACTTATAAGAATATATCCCAAGAAGCTAGAAACAGTTCTAATTGGTTTGGTTCAGTGGATAGAGTGTCAGCCTGTGAACTGAAAGGTCCCAGGTTCAATTCTGGTCAAGGGCATGTACCTTGGTTGCAGGCACATCCCCAATAGGAGATGTACAGGAGGCACTTGATTGATGTTTCTAACTCTCTATCCCTCTCTCTTACTCTATGTAAAAATCCAATAAAATATATTTAAAAAAGAAATTAGAAACACCAATCAGAAAGAACATATGCACTCCTATGTTCATAGTAGCACAATTTACAATAGCTAAAATTTGGAAACAGCCTAAGTGTCCATCAGCAGATTACTGGATTAAAAAACTGTGGTACATCTACACCATGGAATACTATGCTGCAGTTAAAAAAAAAAAAAAAAAAAAAAGATGTTCTTACTATTTGCAACAGCATGGAGGGAACTAGAGAGCATTATTCTAAGTGAAATAAGCCAGGCAGAGAAAGATAAATATCACATGATCTCACTCATTTATGGAATATAATGAACAACATAAACTGATGAATAAAAATGGATCCAGAGACATAGAAACATAGATCAGACCATTAAACATCAGAGAACAGGTAAGGAGAGTGGGGGTAAGGGGGAGGGATCAACCAAAGGGCTTATATGCATGCATATAAGCCTAACAAATGAACATAGACAACAGAGGCATGATGGCATGAGGGGAGAAATAGGGGGGTAGTGGGGGAATAAGGACACATATGTAACACCATAATCAATAAAGAAAAAAACACACAATTAGCCTCCAGGCAGAACTAATTGCCCCACCCTTTTGGAAAACCTCTCACCCGATCTGTGGATGATTGATGGGGGCTACTCAAGGCTGATTCCAATCAGTGTGTAGTCAGAGGCTTGTGTCTGAAGAATTTGACCCTTTTTCTGATCTAATTATTCAGAAACAACATTTGATTCCCTGCTGCAGACACTGCCCCAGACAGCAGTGGAAGGCAATCACAAGAGGGACTTAGCATGTGTTCACCCCTCCACCCCCTGATCCCACACACAATACCAGACCACTCAGTGAACAAATATGGTAAGAACCCAAGTGATTGCATATGAAACCTGTGGGACCAGCTCCATGGATGAAGGGAGTACGGCTCAGAATAGGGATAACCAAGGCATGAGACTAAAAGCATACCCAGCTTCTGAGCTAAGGGATCCCCAAACATTGAAATATTAGGGGTTTCAACCTCTCAGACCTCAATCAGGTTTCCCAAGGCCAGAATGGGACAATGACTCATATTTACCCACACTAGAGAAGCTCCCAGGAGGCCCCATACAGACACACCAGGGAACAACATTCAACAACATCAGAGCAAAATCCATGGAGCTGCACAAATAGCAGACCCAAGGCACCTGTATAACAGCTGGCACAGCAACATTGGGTTTTGAACCTCACTGTCAGCAAGTTGGAGGGGAGACCCCCTACAAATGGGGCATCAACAATCAACTCTCAGTTTTTACAGGAGAGTCTAAATAATGCAAACAAGGAACATTCCTAGAGCATCCACCCCAGGTGACCAAAGAGACTGCATCACTGGACCTCTCAAGACACTTTCTACATAAAGCCATCCCACAATGACTGGGAGAGATAACAGTTCTATCTAGCACATATAAACAAATAAAAAGAGACAGCTAAAATACAAAGAAACAAACCCCAAAGGAGAGAAAAGTGTGATCTCCAGAAAAAGAACTAAATGAGATAGAAGTAACCTATCAGATGTAGAGTTTAAAACAATACTTATAAAATGCTTAAGGAACTCAGTGGAAATTACAACAGCATGAAAAGGGTAATAGAAGCCATGAATAAGAACCAGACAGAAACGAAGAATTAAATATCTGACATCAAGAACACACTGGGAGGTATTAAAAGTAGATTGCATGAAACAGAGAATTGAGTTAGCGATTTAGAACACAAGGTAGAATTAAATACTCAATTAGAGCAGCAAATAGAAAAAAGAAGGAAAACACAGGAAGATAGCTTAAGGGAGCTCTGAAACAACATGAAACGTAATAACATCAGCATTATAGGAATACCAGAAGGGGTAAAGGGTGAGCAAGGAACAGAGAACCTGTTTAAAGAAATAATGACAGATAACTTCCCCAACCTGGTAAAGGAAAATGTTACACAAGTTCAGGAGGGACAGAGAGTCCCAATTAAGATAAATCTAATTGGAAAGGAGAAAATAAAACATTCATTATTCTCAAAGGACATGATATTATACATAGAAAACCCTTAAGACTCCACCAGGAAACTTACAGGCTTAATAAATGAATTCAGCAAGGAGGCAGGATATAATATTGATATCCAGAAATCGATGGGATCTTTTATACAACAATAATGAACTCTCAGAAAGTGATTTTTTTTAAAAGCACTCCCATTTACCATTTCAACAACATAAAAAAATAAGATACCTAGGAATAAACTTAATTAAGGAGGTAAAAGACTTACACTTGGAAAACTATAGGACATTGAAAAAAGAAATAGAGGACACTACAAAGAAGTGGAAACCTATGTCATGTTCATCGATTGGAATAATTAACATCTTCAAAATGTCTATACTGCCTAAAGCAATCTATAGATTCATCACAATCCCTATTAAAATACTAATGGCATACTTCACAGAACTAGAACATATACCCCCAAAATTTATATGAAACCATAAAAATAACTGAACAGCTGCATCTATCTTGAGAAAGAAGAACAAAGTGAGAGGGATCACAATACCAGATCTCAAACTATATTACAAAGCCATTATAGCCAAAACAGCCTGATACTGGCACAAAAATAGGCATATAGTCCAATGGATCAGAACAGAATCACCAGAAATTGACCCACATTGTATCTGTCTATTAATATTTGACAAATGAGGTAAGAACATACAATGGAGTAAAGACAATTTCTTCAACAAATGGCTTTGGAAAAACTGGACAGACACATGCAAAAAGATGAAACTAGACCACTAATTTACACCATACACAAGAATAAATAAAAAATGGATAGAAGACTTAAATGTAAGTCATTGAACCAATAAATCTTAGAGGAGAACATAGACAGTAAAATCTCAGACATCTCACATAACAATATGTTTATAGATACATCTTCTAGGGCAAAGGAAACTAGGGAGAAAATAAACAAACGGTACTACATAACAAAAAGAAACCACTATCAAAATGAAATGGGAGGCCAATGTACGGGAGAACATATTTGCTAATGATACATCTGATAAGGGGTTAATATCCAAAATATATAAAACAATCATACAATTCAATAAAAGGAAGACAATTCAATTTTAAAATGGCCAGAATACTTGAATAGACATTTCTCCAAAGAGGACGTACAAAATTCCAGGAGACATATGAAAAAATGCTCAGTGCACTAATCATCAGAGAAATGCAAATTAAAACCACAATGACATATCGCCTCACACCTCTCTGAATGGCTATCATAAAAAAAAAATCAACAAGTTCTGTCCAGGATGTGGAGAAAAAGGAACTCTAGTTCACTGCTGGTGGGAATGCAGATTGGTGCACCCTCTATAGAAAATAGTATGGAGTTTCCTAAAAAATTAAAAATTGGACTTCTGTTTGACCCAATGATCCCATTTCTGGTATTCTATCATCAAAAATCCCAATCAGAAATAATATATACACCCTTATGTTCATAGCAGCTTTATTTACAATAGCTATGATTTGGAATTAGCCCAAGTGCCCATTAGTAGATGAATAGGTAAAAATTCTGTGGGATATTTACTCTATGGAATACAATGCAGTTGTAAAAAAGATGGATCTCTTATCCTTTGGGAGAGCATGGATGAACCTGGAAAATATTCTAAGTGAAATAAGCCAAACTTAGAAAGACAAATATCACACGATTTCACTTATTTGTGGAATCTAATGAACAAAAGAAATTGACCAACAAAACATAAACTGATGTACAAAAACAGACCCAGAGACAGAAAAGCATTGATCAGACTGTCAAACCTCAGAGGGAAAGTAGGGGAGGGTGGAGGTGGGGAAAGATAAACTAAAGGACTTGTATGCATGCATATAAGCCTAATCAATGGACTCAGACATCAGGGTATGAGAAGAGATGGGGGGCCAATCGGGGGATAAGACACATATGTAATACCTTAATCAATAAAGAAAAATAAAAATAAAAAACAAGATAAGAAGCTTGGAGGTGTGGAACAGACTGACATATCTTGATGTGGGATTAGGAAGACAATAAGAGATAAGCCAAAGAACATATATACTTACTAGAGGCCTGGTGCATGAAAATTCATACACTGGAGGGGGGTCCCTCAGCCCAGCCTGCCCTCTCTCACAGTCTGGGAGCCCTCAGGGGCAGAAGACAACCTGGCAATCAGGGGAAGCTGACACCCCATCACACCTCTGCTGCTGCCATTGCCAGCAATGAAAGCATCAGTTGGCCCTGGTTACCCGAGCCTCTGGCAGCCTTGGGTGGCTGGGAAGCTGCCATCCGAAGCTTGCCTGTGCCTTGGGCTGGCCCTGGGCAGCTGGGGAGCTGATGGTACTGGGGAATTCCCAAGGCAGGCATGTGGAGCAGCCAGACCTGCTTGGGCTGAGGGAACTGGGCGCTGCCATCTTCTGGCTGTGGGTGCCATCATCTTTAAGGGTGTTTCAGTCAATTAGCATATTCCCTCCTATTGGATGTGGGTGCTGCCATCTTTGTGGTGATGTGAAGGTCAGTTAGCATATTCTCTCTTTATTAGATAGGATATTCATAGCCCATGGACTCTGGAAATAGGCTATTCAGGTCTTGGGGAGGGGAGGGTTGAGAGGAGGGGGGAAATGAGGGGAAAATGGGAGACATATAATACTATCAACAGTAAAAATATATGAAAAATAATTTTAAAAATTCTGTTCTTAAAGAATAATGCAGTCTCCCCATTGTTGAGACATTATTTCAATCTATCCTCTCATGTTTTCAGTGGTACCTTCAGGGTTTATAATTGTTCATGTCACATCCTATATAATAAAGATGTAATATGCAAATGATCTTTATTCTGTGAAACATAACAACCGACAGAGAAACGACTGGATCATGGATTAAGAGGAGGGTGGGGCAGCAAGCTATAAGGAGGTAGTGGAGAACTACAGGAGGGGGCAGGGCAGCAAGCTATGAGGGGGGCGCGTGGGGGCAGAGGGAACTATAGGAGGGCAGGGCAGCTGGCAGAGAGCTACAGGAGGGCGGTAATAAGCTACTGGTTACAAGTGGCCCCTGGAGAGCTACAGAAGGGGCAGGCAGCAAGCTATGGGGGGGGGCAGGGAGAGGGAGATGGGGGGAGCTACAGGAGGTGACAGTGATCTACTGGCTATAAGGGGTGGCAGAAAGCTACAGGAGGGAGCAGGGCAGCAAGCTATGAGGTGGCAGGGGAAGCAGAGGGAGCTACAGGAGGGCAGGGCAGTGGGCAGAGAGCTACAGGAGGGTGGCAGTGAGCTATTGGCGAGCTACTGGCACATAGATTCATGTACACATGTACATATAAGGTGCAGGGCTACAAGTATACTAAATAATATTATAGTTATTCTGATGGTAAACTTCCCCATAGTCTTCAAGAGGCAAAATGCTTAATTAATCACTATTCAAGTAATAATGTTACTACATAGAAGGGAACAAATTGGTTAATTACATAAGAAGTGACATGCCACATTTTTCTATAGCAACACTTAGGGGTATTTTTCCACTTCTTGGGAAAATGAAAAGATAGAAGAAGACCTTCCCAAACCTATGATTCTTTCAGGTAAATGAAAACTTACATGTTTCATGCTAAACAAGCTTACCCTTATTTCTAATTTACTGACTCATCAATTTATAAAGACACTAAAACATGGCCTTTGCCAGATTTGACATGCAAAATGGTTACCTTTTCACAATGATCAGCATAACAACATCAGTTACCCTACTGGTCCTTGGAAGCACAGATGGTCAAGAAAGAGTCTAGTTTTTTTGAATGTTCCTAGAAATGGAAATATGTTGAGATACATTATCACTTCCTAGTGCTTTAGGTTTTAGGTCTCAAGGATGAATGGTAGAAGGATCAACAAACAGAAACAGAAGGTGACTTGTAGAGATGTTTTGTTCATTGGTGTATCTCTAGCATCTAGTCTAGATTACTGAATAAATACACTTGGGAAGTGAAACTTTGGGTTTGAAAAGCAGGTATCACTATTGTTTCAAAAAGAGACTATTTTGTAGAAGGCATTTTTGCATTAAAGATTTGAGAGAGGTCCTTGACTATTTTTAAAATTACTTTATTGATTAAGGTACCATATATTTGTCATCATCCCCCCAATTGCCATCCCAAACCCCTCCCCATGCATGTCCCACCCCCCTGTTGACCATGACCACTGGTTTGGCTCATATGCATGCACACAAGTCCTTTGGTTGATCTCTCTTCCTTATTCCTACCCTCCCCTACCCTCCTTCTAAGGTCCAACAGTCTGATCGATGCTGTATTTGTTTATCAGTCTATGTTAGGGGTGTCGAACTCAATCAGAGAAGGGGCCAAAATCTAAAATCCAGCCTAAATCGCGGGCCGAATGGTTTACTGAACAGTCATAAACTGTCATTGTGATGGAAACGCAGCGGAGTGCAGTGATGACAGCGCGGTGCGGGCCACATTGCAAGGCCTGGCGGGACGGATTTGGCCCACGGGCCTTGTGTTTGACACATGTGGTCTATGTTGTTCATCATTTCCCCTACATGAGTGAGCTCATGTGATACTAGAAATACACTTATAAGAACCGAAAATGAGACAAGCAATAATGGTTATGCTGAGAGGCAAATGAATCAGTTTATAGTAAGTTTCTTTCTGGGCCAACAGTTCTTTTAAGTCCCAATTTCTGTGTTAAACAGTTCCTTATGTGTACATGTCAGCAATGATATTTCAATTCTGGATGGTGGACAAATGGTGTTAATGCCCTCTCTGGTTTGGTCCTGGTCAACCTGCAGTGATGCACAGCTGCTGACTGCTAGTATGGAAAGGTGTCGTCAGCATCTTCCATCTCTGGACTGTTTCTCTTATGTCTTTATGGCTGGAGCACTCTTATCAAGTTCTCTCTGTTGCAGGAATCCACATGGTCTCTACGTTGTTTTCTGAAAATATACAAACATATTCTCAACCAAAAGTTAATAAAGGAATCTTTTCTATAAATTTGACTTGTGCTCCTTTTTCATTTTTTGCCCAAACCATTTTCCTTTGGCTTGTTTGGACACCATGTGTGTTTTTCATGGGTGTCTTGCTGTTAACATTACAATTAATTTTCTAAAGTATAAATTTTCTAGATGTAATTTACTTACAGGATATTTTTCCTTACATGATATTCTTCTACTTTCCCACCTTTTTTGATTTAAATATTAGGAGGCTTTTTTTGGAAATTTTATAATGTAATCTTTATAGGTTTCAAATTTTAACTTTTTGCACAAAAATATGACTGCTTTAGGTTCATTACATGTTACAATGAGATGAACTAGCAATAAAAATTTTAGTTAACACCTTAGGAACAACTTTTTTGTCCAGTACACTTGATTTTTCTAGAATATCCGCTTATTTCAATTAGCCAATTTAAATTAGCCTGAAAACCTGACTACTATTTTACTGTCAAATTTAATTCTCTAACAGCCATCTTATTTTACTCTGTAAGTATTAGTGGAAAGGCTTATTTGTTTTCTTGAGTAAGCCCTGAGCATTCCTGTTGCTAGGCTGGGTTTAGATATCAAAAACCCCAGTTCCCCACATCATGGGTACAAGACAACTCAAACAAGTCTTGTTGCATGAGAGGGCAGCTGCTGTTGGCCAAGTATCTGTCTGTTACCCAGGTCCCGATTTAAGCTGGGCATGGGAAGCTAAGCATCAATGGGGGCAGGAGAACTCCCTCAACAGGGGTGAAGGTTCAGGCACCTGAAAAGTTGGGGGGATGAAGGTCTATGCCCCACTTCTGTTGACCCCCAAGTTCTCTCCTGATGGCCCCTCTGCGACTGTGCCTGTCTTAGGTTGTTCCTTCCCTGAGGAATCTTACCCATCTCTGGCTAACCAACCATCCTTTGGGGCCAAGCAGGGTGATGTGAGGTTCAGTTCTGTCTCCTTGGTAGCCTATTCCCCCCCCGTGACCTCCACAACCAGCACCTGCCTTGAGATCCCCTTGCCTGCTGGCGGGGAACCAGCACTGATCGCATAACTTGTGAAACCCAGATTTCTTCTCCAGGGAAACCCCAGCTCACCCCACTGGGCAAGAGACAGATCCATGATACCAGCCATCACGAGGCTTCAACCTCAGCATGAACAGAAA